ATGTAGGGGCTCTTGGTGGCCTCTTGGGGCCTCCTGGGCGCATCTTGGGGCTGAGGGCCCGAAATGTCCGGTCGGGATCCCCCTCTGGGCCTGGGGCCTTGTGGGCCGTCTTCAAGGCGTCTTGGGCCGTCTCAGGGCCCACTTGGGCCAGGCCTCTCGAGCCGTCTTGGGGCGATCTTGGGGGCCTCTTGGGCCGTCTTGGAAGCCGACATGGCGAGATCGCCAAAATCTGCCAGAAACCGAAGGACATGTATGGTTTGTAAGTCGCGGGGCGCTATCGGGAGTGCTGTGGGAGGCTTCTCGGGTCGTTTTGCAGGTCTCCCTGGCTGCCTGGCCGCCATCATGTGCATCTTGGAGCGGTCTTGCGGCGTTCAGGAGCACTATTGGACTCTACACTTTAGGCGATGCTTAAGAAAACCCAAGTTTTCGTCCAGAGTCTCGATTATTCTTAACTTTTCAATGTACATCCCAAGATTTTGATAGAAATTCTGGGTTTTTGTTCAAGTTCTGAGACTATGAATTTCTTAACCCATGATGTCTTAAGCATTTCGCAGGGTGTATTCGGGGCTTCTTGGGGGCCTCTTGGCCCTTCTTGAAGCTCTCTGGGGAGCTCCGAGGGCGGCGCCCAGGAGCAAAAAACCATCTCTGACCAGACCCTGCTGGAGATCGGCCGGGGTACGCTTCGCCCGGCGACCCCCAGGGGCTACACGCGCGCGCGAACCCGAAATCTATTACTCAGGAGGAAAAGAAACACACAGACACAATTAATCCCCGATTCCCCAGAAAATATGGGAAAATATGGGAAGTGGGGGGGAAGACAGAAACCCAGAAAATATGTGAAAATATGGGGAATAGTTTTATTTGTGTGTATTTATTTGTGTGTCCTGGGGCCCCTTCAATTACACTTGTTTGTGGAGATCTTAGCCCGCCTCTGGCCCGTTGGACCAGCGAGTCATTTTTGACGCCTCCAGACCTCCTCGCCGCCTCCTCTCCTCCTTCCTCCCCCTCGTCCTCACTAAGACTCGATCGCATTCGAACCCATGCATACTCATACTTCACAGCCAGACTCACCCACACTCAGACTCAGTCACACTCATACTTACCCAGTCACTTCCTGAACCACTCATCACTCTCACTCAGACCCAATGGTACGGAGACTCACTCACACACACTGACTCACATGCAGACTCAATCGTGCTCAGACTCGCTCACACTCCGACTCACTCACACTCAGACTCACTCACACACAGACTCAGTAATACTCAAACTCACTCGCACTCAGACGCGCTCACACGCGAACTCAGATATACTCAGACTCATTCAGACCCACTCGCACCCAAACTTGCGACGCACTCGCTTTCAGACTCGCAGATCGTGAGGATGTCTCGAGCGAGGCGCTGGTTTCAGCACTCCAAGGGGGAGCCGCCAGCGAGTATTTCACTGGCCCGTCCGTGGCAATATCGTCGGGATGTCTCGGGCGGTTTGTTTGTTTCGGTGCTCAGATTCGGTTGCGTTCAGAACACAATGGGAGGATGCCTCGAGCGATGTGCTGTTTCTTCCCTCCCAAGAGGCCCAGATTGAGGATGTTTCAAGTGGTTTGCCTGTCTGGTGGTTTGGACCCTTCGGCTTTCCGTAGATTGTGAGGATGTGCCGAGCGAGGCGCTAGCTTCAGCACCCCAAGGGGCCCAGGTTGCGCGGATGCCCCAAGCGGTTTTCGCGTTTGGTGGCCAGGATTCCTCTGCTTTTGAAGCAGAGTGGGAGAATGTCGTGAGCGGGGCGCTGGTGTCAGAACCCCAGATGGGAGCGGTCGGCGGCCCGTTGCGGCACGATTGTGGGGTTCTCGAGCGGTTGGCTTGTTTGGCGGCTTCGACTCCTGCCTCGGAGTCCAGGGCAGGCGCTAGTTTCAGCGCCTCTTCAGGGGGTATGTCACGGGCTCGTTCGTGGCCACATTGTTGGGAATTTTCGAGCGAGGCGTTCGTGTGGAATGTCCGACTCCTGTCCATATGATCGTTCCGATATAGGACGAAGGACGGTTGCCAGGGTGGGGGAGGAGGAGGAGGAGGAGGAGGAGGAGGAGGAGGAGGAGGAGGAGGAGGAGGAGGAAGAGGAGGAGCAGGAGGAGGAGGGAAGGCGGAAGCAGACGCGAGAGGAAAGAAAAGGGAGGAAGGAGGACGAGAAGGGAAGGGCTACGACGAGGAGGAAGAGACGGAACATGGGAGGAGGCCGCCAGGGAGGAGGACACTTGCCAGGCAGGAGAAAGGATGCGTGCGGACTAAGGAGTAGGAAGATTACGGAGGAGGACACACAAGGACGGCCGCCAGGGAGAAAGATGGGGGAGGACGGAGTTTGGAGGAGGAGGACGCAGGAGTATGGACATGGTCGGAGGGAGGACGAGACGAGAGGGGCTACGACGAGGCGGAAGAGTAAAGACAACGGAGGGGGCTTGCTCACCGCTTGCATGTGCGTGAGTTGTCGTCGTCGTTGTCCCTCATCATAGCCGCCGTCGTCGCATCCGTCGTCCACTCGGAGTTGCGCTCACACCCAGACGCTCACAGCCAGACGCTCACCATGGGACGTGCCAGAGAACAGACGCACGCACATACACAGACCGCAGACAGACAGACAGACAGGCAGGCAGACAGGCAGACAGGCAGACAGACTGACAGACAGACAGACAGACAGACAGACAGACAGACAGAGACAGACAGACAGACAGACAGACAGACACACACGCACACAGGCACAAGCATTTATGACAGTTATATAGAGATATATTTCTGTAGTTCTATATATCGGAGGTTGGGAGGTGAGTCCGACGTGAAACGGAGACCCCCCCTACCCGCTACCGGGAAATCGATTTCGGTTTCGGCTTCGTGTCGTGCGTGCCGTGCGGGCGTGCGGGCGATGCGAAGCTGCATGGGCGGGCGAAAGGAAATCCTCCTGTGGGCGGGCTGTGGCCGGACCAAATGTAACTCCTCCAGCGGCCGGTGCCGCGCGGTGTCCCGCCGGTGTCTCGCTGGTGTCCCGAACTCCTCCTGTGGCTGGGCCGCGGCCAGACCGCGGCCCGTGCCGCGCGGTGTCCCGCCGGTGTCCCGCTGGTGTCCCGTGGTGTCCTGTGGTGTCCCGCTGAGTGAGATCGATAGTGAGATCGATGGTGAGATCGATGTGGTGGCCCGAGGTGTCGCGTGGTGTCCCAGAGAGTGAAATCGATAGTGAGATCGATACTGAGATCGACAGGTGTCCCGTGGTGTCCCGTTGAGAGAGATCGATACTGAGATCGACACTGAGATCGATACTGAGATCGATGTGGTGCCCCGAGGTGTCCTGTTGTGTCCCGCGGTGTCCCAAAAAGTGAAATCGATAGTGAGATCGAGAGGTGTCCCGTGGTGTCCCGTGGTGTCCCGTGGTGTCCCGTTGAGTGAGATCGATTGTAAAATCGAATGTGAGATCGATAGTGAGATCGATGTGGTGTCCCGAGGTGTCCCGTGGTGTCCTAGGGTGTCCCGTTGAGTGAGATCGATGGTGAGATCGATAGTGATAACGGTAGTGAGATCGAGAGGTGTCCCGCCGGTGTCCCGTTGGTGTCCCGTGGTGGCACATGGTGTCCCGTTGAGTGAGATCGATAGTGACATCGATCGTGAGATCGACAAGTGTCCCGTGGTGTCCCGTTGAGTGAGATCGATAGTGAGACCGATTTAGTCAGATGTTGGTTCCCCCCCCTCCCCCCCCACAACCTCCTTATCACCCGAAGGGTGGTCGTATAGGTACATACGGGGATCTTCGCATCGAGTCATTTTGGGTCGGGCGAGCGCGGCTGAGCGAGAGAGAGAGAGAGAGAGACGTTGGAATGCACGCTAAAGTAACACGGGCCAGGCCAGGATAAGTCTTGTTGTTTGTTCGTTCTCTCGCCCTTCTCTCGGCGGCCAGCCTGGGGGGTAGTGAGGAGGGGCGGGCCTGTTCAGAAGGCTCGGAAGTCCCTGGGCCTTCAGACAGAAACCTGTTCAGAAGGTTGGAGGGCTTCTGAGAAGCCCCGCCGCCTTTGAGAAGGCCTTCCCTTTTCTCATTTCCCCCCCCTCGCTCGCCGCCGATCTCCAGTCAGTGCTCGTTCACTTGGGCGTCCATGCTCTGCCGCGCGCAGGGTGCGCCTTCTTCCGCTGGCTGCCTGCTGCTGCCGTTTGGGACTCGGGCGCCAGGGCCTGCTCTCTCGGCCTTCGGCGGCGACGACTGAGGCTCGGGCGCGCGAGTGCCCGGGACCGCGCGCACCGCTCGGCTGTGTTGCGCGGGTGCCTTGCCGGTCTCGAGGGCCCAGGGCTGCCTGGCGGCGCCTCCGGGACGACCCCGCGGGGCCCCATCCCCTCGGAGGGAGCGGCGCGACCCCCCTCGGCATGCCCTCGGAGGGCCGCGATCCGCGCGGCCGACCGCTTCGGCGGCCCGCCGCGCCCGTCGTGTGGGGCGGCGCCCGCGGGCCGCCTGCCCGGCCCGCCCCGATGCTGCATCGCTGGGGGTCGGCGGGGGGGGGGTCGGCGGGAGGGTCGGAGACGGCCAATGGCCAGGAGGAGGGTGACGACCAGGGGCGGGGCGGGAGGTCGTCGCCGGAGCCACGCAGTCTTTCCAGATGTCATGGCCCCCTCTTCTGCCTTCAGCACGTCCTTGGGCCCCCCCCCCACTGGGCCGCGCACGTGCCTTGGGCCACGATTTTCGAACCTTCCTCTTGGACTCCCCCCCGACGCCCCCATCGAGGGGGAGGCGGGGGAGGGAAGGAGGAGGAAGATGATTGAGGCGCGTGGATTTGGCGACGGGCCCCAGTCCTGTGCAACGTCGGCGCGCTCCGTCGCCAAGTCAGGCGGCACTCGCCTCGTGTTCTAGGGGGTACTGTCCCCGACTGGATCTGGCGCCCACGCGCCAGATCCGCGGAGCCGTAGTCCATGCTGGTGTTTGCCCGAGTCTGGACAGGCTCTCCGATCACTGCCGCGCCCCCCCCCCCCCGCGGCGCGCCGAAGGCCGGCTCGAGGCTGGCGAAGTGCGTCGCGGACCCAGACTACGCGGTGTCCGGCTCGTACTTCAGCTGGGGGGGCGAGTCGGGCACAGGCGGGCCGCCGCCCCTTGACGGCCCCCGAACTCGTCATCCCATCGGGACCAGTGTGAGGGGGGATGGGCGGGGCTAGGCTCAGGGGGCGGTGCCACGCCTCGACCCCGATTGCCCAGTGATCGCCTCTGGGGGGCCCGGTGGCCCACCCCGCCCGAGGACCCTTCGGCTCCGCAATCGGGGGCGCATCGCCGCTCCATCGGCGGTGTGTCGCCGATTCCAGGTCGGTGTTTCCCCCCTGAGCCGGCCCCCCCCCCGCATCGTTGCCCCTCATCCCTTCGCCCCGCGAATCTCGAGACACGCCCCATGGATGCAGATCTCGATTGCCCCCCGGGGCTTCGCAAAACTGCCACATCGGAGGACTGTCGACGATTCACATCGTTACGCCTGTCCTCATGAAGACTTTTTTGTAGGGTTCGGCGATCACCCGGGTTGTCGGGCCCGCCCGCCCGCCCCCTTTCCCCACGGCTATAACCTGACATTGTCGTCTGCGCAGGTCCGAAGGGGATACGCAGCATTGGTGCGCGCGGGCATGCCTTGGGCTGCCCAAGGCGAAAAGGTTTGACTATCGGCCCGCGCCTTCCCTTTTGGAAGGCAGGAGGATACGCCACCCCGACCCCGAGAGCTGGCGCTTGCGGAGAGGCCCTGGGCATTCTCTGAACAGCCCTGCCCTGTTCGATTCCCTCCTTGGGTGCGTTTGCCAATCGGCTTCGCTTGTCGGGGTGCGCATTGAGAGTGTGGATGTTCTGCTCTCCACCCTTCCTCACCTCCCCCCCACCCAGGTGACTTATCGCCGAAAAGTAGAACAAGCGATCCCATGGCTCCTCAGCGCCGCCAGACTGGCCCCCGGGAGGTGGGGACGTGTGCCGCGGAGCCTGGCGGCGAGGGTTGTTATGGGCACTCGAATTTATTGAGATGTGGTCCTCAAGTGCGATGGGAGCAACATAACTGACGAACCAACAACACACACCCATACCCATAGGGGGATCGGAGAGGGCTATGGGTGCGTGTTGTCGGATGGGGGTCCCCGCTCGAACGGGAGCGTTCCCCAGGGTCCGACAGCCCGCACCCATACCCATGGCCAGTCCTCCTCCCAGCGACCCCTACCTGTGCGTATGGCGTATGTGTGTGTGTGTGTGTGTGTGTGTGTGTGTGTGTGTGTGTGTGTGTGTGTGTGTGTGTGTGTGTGTGTGTGTGTGTGTGTGTGTGTGTGTGGGGGGCGTGCTGTTCGTTCGTCGGTAACCCTGTCCCCACCGGTCGTGGGGGGGGGGCGGGTCGGGCATCGGGGCCGAAAGAGAGAGATCCCCTTGTGCGGGTGGGATTGGGGGAGCAGGCCGCACGGGCGCTGCGGGGCGGCGGGGCGCCCGACGGGCTCCGCCGGCAGGAGAGGGGTAGGTCGTGGGGCAACGGTCGGGGGCTCCCGAACGGGGTGGTGACCACACCGTGTGGTGAGTCGGTGGGGATTCGGGGTCGCCGCACGGTTTTGGGACCTGGGTCGTTCTCCGAGGATTTCTCGGGCGACTGGAGCCTCCAGGGTCCCAAAACCGTGTGGCGACGGACCGTGCGGTGAGGTCGTGGCGGATTTCGAGGTCCCCGCCGGGTCTGTCGCCACACGGTTTTGGGACACCCAAAACGGCAGGGGGGGGATTGGGCACGGGGGGGGCACAGCCTGCCCAGGAAGGTTCGGATTCACTATCGAGGGCCCATCGCCGATCTCTTGGGTCGGCGCTGGACGCCCCTCCCACGCGCGTCACGCCAGGGGGTCCAAGGGTTATGCTGCTGTTCTCCCAGGGCCCAGAGCAGGGGGAGAGTCGGACATAGTTTTGTGAACACGCCCAGCTCTCGAGAACGGATTCCCCTGGAGCCCCGCCGCCTCGCCCTCCGCGGCCCCGCTGCTGAGCTGCCTCCCGGGCTCCTTCTTCGACGGCACCACGGCTGGCCGCTCCCCACTCGCGCCCCCTCCCCGACCCCGCCGAGGCCGGGCCGGGCCGTGCCGTGCGGACGGCCCCGAGAAGGAGGGAGGAGTAGGAGGTGGAGGGGGAGGAGGGGGGGAGGGGTGAGGTCCTCCTCCTCGTTCTCGTTCTCGTCCTCCTCCACCACCACCACCACCTCCTCCTCCTCCTCTTCGTCCTCCTCCTCTTCCTCCTCCTCCTCGTGGTGGTGGAGCACGGTCCCATCAGGCCCCGCTTCGATCTTCCGCCGGCCGCTCTCGGCGGAGGGCTCTTTGTGGCCCGCCCCATCGGCAGAGGCGCCGCGGCGCCTCTGGGCGCGGCGCGGCGCCCCGATGACGGGCGAGAGGCGCCACGGGCTCTGGGGCAACGCTAGGGTTCAGACGGGCCTGTCTCTCCACACGGGGGGAAACTCAAACATACGTTTTAAAGATAGTCAGGGGGCTACTGCTTGAGAGTTTTTTTGTCAAATTTGAGTCATTGTTGACTATGTTTGATGTGTCGCCCCAGATCCGCCTGAAGGGGGACACGCCCGACCTTACGCTAGGGGGGGAGAGGGGGGAGAGGCTCTTGGGGGGGATGCATCGGCGCCAATCGCCAATGCTTCGCCGACAGTCGAAGAAGAACAAACCACATAAACAGAAACTTTTGGCGCTCCGCGCGAATTTCTTGGATCCGCGCCTGGGCCCCCCCCGGCCGCGCCTCCGGCGCCGCCCCTGGCGCGCTCCGCGCGCCAGGGAGGGGGTCCAGCGCGAATCCAAGAACTCCGCGCGGAGCGCCTTATGTGTTTTTGTTCTTCTTCTAGATAGGGGCTTGATAATTTGCCCAGCCCGCTCAGGAACCGTGCGGTTTTTCAGTGTCGGGGGCCTGTCGCCGATTTGTCGGCGACGTATCGCCGATTCCAGGTCGGCGTTTCACCCCCAGCGCCAGTCCCCCCCCCTATCCTTTCCCCCTCAGTGCATGGCGGCGCCGCCGTCTGGCGGGCGGGGCGGGCCCTCAACGGACCTCAACGGGCGGGCTCAAGGCCGGTCGGGCACGCGGCGGACCTCCACGGGCGGCCTCGGGCGGGCGGGATACTCGAGCGGGCGGGCGGGCCACAGCAGCAAGCACGCGGTCCCAGGGCTCTCGGTGCGCCTGCAGTTGGGGGGCGGGAAGGACAGGGCGAAGATCGGCAGCTGCTCCTGCCCACTTGAAGAGGATTCGCTGTCAGTGCTGTCGCGAACATGTTCCGTCTAAGACAGAAGGTCGTCCGCACAGCAGTGGCCGGTTTCGGTTGCGGGCAGCATGTGCTGATGGGCAGCGTGCCCATGTTTCCCGCACCCATGTCGGGCGCGGTCGGGCAAGGCTCGTGTTGGGCGCGGGCGGGCACGACCCCGACCCCCTTCGGGACCCTGGGCGACTGGGCGATCGCGTCGCCAGGGCGGTAGCGGAGGCACCCGAGGAGGGCCGGCGAGCATCGTGCGCAGCAGCAGCATTGTGGTTGGCGTCGCCTCCAGCCCATGTTGGCCACGCGCAGAGGGGGGTAGGAGGAGTGGGAAAGGCTTCTTAGAAGCGCTCCTGCTTCTTAGAAGGCGCTGGCCTTCTCTATCGACGCAAGGCCGGGGCCTTCTAAGAAGCAGGGGTGCTTCTAAGAAGCCTTCCCCCCTCCTCCTACCCCCTTCTGCGCGCCGCTAACCACCCTCGACGGCCCTGCCGCACGGGAGGGCGCCTTTCCGCTGCGCCCCCGCAGGGTTGCCCGCCGTCTGCGGGGCGGCTCGAGCCGCGCGCTGCCCGTGGCGGGCCTCCCGCCCCGGGGGGGGGAGCGCGGCGCAGAGGAGGGCGAGTGGAGGCAACGGTAGGCCGTCTGGGGGGGGGGGGGCCCTCGTCGCCACGGCTGGACGCGGGCCGGGAAACTGGTGCGTTTGGACTCCCTCCTCCCTCCTCCCTCCTCCCTCCTCCCTCCTCCCTCCCGGGAGGCGGTGGGGTCGGGGACCGATTTTGAGCCGCCGTCATCTCAGTTCGCCCTGTTCCGAGCGGCAGGTTCGTGTCGTGCCCGGCGCGGCGGCGACCCCGGCATGGGCGTTCGAGGTTGAACGTCGCAAGTGGCCAGGAACCAGCGGCCGACATCGGAGGAGCTTTGCTGTCGGAAGGCCGCGATCGTTCAAGGTTGAAAGATCCACACGGTTCGTCCGATCGCAAACACGGATCAAGGGGGCGTGGATTAGCGACGGGTCCTGTTTTCATGGGCAATGGTTGATTTCCGCCGCCGAACGAGGCGGCACCATCCGCATTTGGGGAGGGCACCTCCCCCGATCCATCGATTTGGCGACCGCGCGCCAAAGCCATGGACCGCGAGCCCCCGAGAGAGGGAGAAGTGGGAGGAGAAGGGGCGCCGCGGAGGAGCACAACCATCGGGCGACCTGAGAACTGACAGCCTCACCGGTCTGGGCCGAGCCCATCCTGTGCCCGGGATCGGTGCACACGCCCCCCTGCGTGCGCCAGGGAGGCGCTGACACCGGTCCTGGGCCCGGGATCGGGCAGGCCAGGATCAGTGCAGTGGTCAGAAGATCAGGAGGGAAACAAAAACACACAGACACAATGAATCGTCGACTCCCCAGAAAATATGGGAAAATATGGGAAGTGGGGGGGAAGACAAAAGCCAAGAAAGTATGGGAAAATATAGGGAATCCTTTTATTTGTGTGCATTCATTTGTGTGCCCTGGGGCACCTTCAGAAGACGTGGCCCGACACCGGCAGCAGCAGCAGCAGCAGCAGCCGCGGCAGGAAGGCAGGAGTCTCACTGGTGGCGAGGCGCGCGGATCCCGACGAGGGGCTCTTCCCGCCCGGCAGGCGGCTCCGGCGGAGTGGACGCGTCGCAGAACAAGGAGAAGTCGTCGGACGTCTTCGGGCAGGACCGCCCGGGCGTGAGTGTAGCCTGGGGACCTTGAGGGAGAGGAGGACCCGAAGGAGGAGGAGGAGGAGGAGGAGGAGGAGGAGGAGGAGCCCTCATGGAACCCGCAACAGGCGAGAGGGCGCCTGTTCCACGTGAGATGTGCCCCATCCGAGGTGGTGCAGCGAGCTACGCGTTCAGGCTTCACGAAATTCCAGGTGGGCCAGTCGCGCTGTAGAGACTGGCCGCCTGAAGCCTCCTGGCGACTGACATGGTGATCCCGTCATCTGTCCTTCGATACTCCCTCGGACGGGCCACGCGGTTGGGGCAGATGTACAACCTCCTCTCGAGGCATCGGGGAGGGAGTTACAGTACACACGGTTCCCCAGGAATCAGGGTTATTCATATCTTGTTGTTAACAGCATGTGCCGCCATCTAATCTAACAAGAACAGCATTTTGGGTTGCGATTGTTCAAGGGTTTGAGAACCACGATGGTGATGATGTTGATGATGGTCATGTTGATGATGTTGATGATGATGCTGATGATGATGGTGATGATGGTGATTATGTTGATACTGCTGATGATGATAACGATGTGGATAGGGATGATGATGATGCTGCTGCTGATGATGATGAGGAGGATGAGGATGAGGATGATGCTGATGATGCTTATGGTGCTGAAGCTGATGCTGATGCTGATGCTGCTGATGAAGATACTGCTGATAATGACGATGAGGATGAGGATGAGGATGAGGATGCGGATAGGGATTGTGACGATGATGATGTTGCTGATCCTGATGGTGATGGGAGGAGGTGGTGATGCTGGCGATGATGATGGGAGGTGGTGATGAGGATGAGGATGATGAGAATGATGTTGTTGATGGTGATGCTGAGTATGATAGTGGTGATGGCGATGTTGATATTGCCGGTGATGGTTGTGCTGATAATGATGACGATGACGATGCGATGATAAGGACGAGGACGACCACGACGGAGATTATGATGACGATGATGATAACAACTATGATGATGACGATGATGATGCTGATGCTGTTGATGATGTTGATTGGACGCGGTGATGATGAGGATGAGGATGCGGATGCGGATGCGGATGATGCTGTTGATGCTGATGATGCTGATAGGGGATGCTGATGATGCTGATGATTATGATGGTGGATGATGATTATGTTCATGGTAATGGTGTCGGTGATTATGAGGCTGCTGATGATGACAATGACGATGGTGGTGATGCTGTTGCTGCTGCTGCTGCTGCTGCTGCTGCTGCTGATGATGATGATGATGATGATGATGATGACGATGGTGACGGTGCTGCTGGCGACGATGATGATGTTGGTGCCGACGAAAACGTCGGTGCTGATGATGATAATGACGAAGATGGCTATGACGATGGTGATGGCGATGATGATGGTGCTTCTTGCGACGATGACGAGGACACCGATGTTGGTGAGGAGTGCCATGGTGCTGATAATGACGATGATGATCATGAAGGGATCGGCTCGGTTCGGTTCGGTCCGGTTCTGCAGCCAGACCGGTTTTGCTTGGCCGGTTCGGTTTGGCATCGGTCCGGTTTTGGCCGGTTCGGCTTGGGCCTGCCGCCGGTTCGGTTCGGTTCCGGTTTTCGCGCGGTTGGGTCCGACCGGTTCGGTTCGGTTCGAGTGGCCGCTCCGGTTCGGTTCGAGGGGGGTCGCAGCCCCGAGGGGGGTCGCACCCGCGAGGGGGGTCGCACCCGCGAGGGGGGTCGCAGCCCCGAGGGGGGTCGCACCCGCGAGGGCGGTCGCAGCCCCGATGGGGGTCGCACCCGCGAGGGGGGTCGCACCCGCGAGGGGGGTCGTAGCCCCGAGGGGGGTCGCACCCGCGAGGGGGGTCGCAGCCCCGAGGGGGGTCGCACCCGCGAGGGGGGTCGCACCCGCGAGGGCGGTCGCAGCCCCGAGGGGGGTCGCACCCGCGAGGGGGGGTCGTCGTCGTCCCGGAGTCCTGGGGGTCGTCGTCGTCCCGAGTCCTGGGGGTCATCGGGGTCCTGGGGTCCGGAGGGGAAAGGGGTTCGGTTCGGTTCCCGTCGGTTCGGTTCAGGGGCCGCCCGGTTCCGGTTCGGTTCCGGTTCTGGTTCGGTTCGGTTCTCGCCGGTTCGGTTCTGAATGAGTTCGGTTCGGTCCGGTTCGGTTTTTTTTACGTTCCTTGTTTTGGACCGGTTCGGTCCGGTTCGGTCACGGTTCTCGGTTCTCGGTTCGGTGCGGTCCCTTCATGCTGATGGCTATGACGATGTTGACAATGACGCTGATCATGGTGATGGTGATGATGATGACGATGGTGATGCTGATCATGATGACGCTGATGAGGATGATGATGATTATGATGATGATGATAATGTCGATGACCATGGCGATGATGATGTTGATGATGATGATGATGATGATGATGATGATGATGATGATGATGATGATGATCAAGATGAGTCTGAAGATGATGATGCTGATGATGATGAGGAGGATAACGATGATGACGATGCTGATGCCGCTGATGATGATGAGAATGGGGATGATGATTGTGTTGATGATGATGATGTTGATGATGATGATGATGATGATGATGATGCTGATGATCATGCTGCTAATTATCAATATGACGATGGTGATGATGAGGTTGATGAGGACAACGATGCTGTTGCTGCAGATGATGATGCTGATGGTGGTGGTGATCGGGCTCCTGATGAAGATTATTGTGCTGATGCTGATGCTGATGCCGATGCTGGTGCTGCTGATGACGAGGTGGATTTAAAAGGATGAGGATGGTGGTGGTGGTGAGGAGTAAGAGGAAGAGGAGGAAGATGATGGCCGCCACGTGTGACAGCTTTCGTCTTTATTATGGAAAGAGCGCTTTCTCTGGTCGCTTGTATGGCCCCCTCCCCTTGGGTTTGGGGCCGTGGGGTCCCAGGGAGGCCTGTCATTCGCCGATGTCTTCCAATCGGCGGCTCACATGATTAGCCTTCGGCGGGTCTCTCCGTGGCCTGGGGGCCAGCTGTTGTCGTCTATCTTGGCGTCTTGGGGCCGTTTGCGGGCCCAGGGCCATAAAATATTTGTCTTGGGCGAAGGACTGCCTGCGCAGAAAAGGTCGCGACCTCTGGAGCCCGCGGAATGCTTCACACAGAAAGCGCGTCGGGAGTCTTGGGATACACGTGGCGCCACCCCTTGTGCTGGTCATCCGCCCCTACTGCCGATCCCGACCCTGGTCGCCCCCGCCATCGTTGCTGTACTCTCTACAGCCTGACACAGAGCAAGACCCGAACCCTGTTGCGACCCTTTGTTCGGCCATGCGTCACTACCTCTGTGCCTTTCCGTGCTCCTCCAGCTCGCCTTCCCAGGAGGGCAGCTTCAGGACGCTCGCCGTGGACGAGATCGGGGGCCAGGCGGGCTGGGACGGAGGCGGCGAGAAACTCTTCAACCTCAGCGAGGAGGCGCCTTCCCCTTCGCGCGGGGGGGAAGAAACCACTCCTTCCAGCCGTGGCCGGTTTGCCCCCCGGCTGTTCCAGCCCTGGCGACCTCGTCCTAATTGCTCCGGGCTCGTCTCGGCCCCTGCAGCCAAGACTCCAAAACAAGGACCGCTTTGCGTTGGGAAGGGGCTCGCTGTTCAGTATGGCATGCCGTGGTTGTTCTTCCTAGCCCTCCTCGTGCACCCAGGCACTTCTGGTGCCAAAGAGGGGCTTCCTTCCTCGTCCAGCGCTCCTCTTTCCAGCAGCCCGACTGTAGCAGCTGCTCGCTCCCTGGCCTCCTCGACTTCCCTTCTTCCAGCTTCCCTCGGCCTCCTCGCCATGCGCCGCCCCGCCCCTCATCTGGGGCACCTCTCCGCCCTCGCTGTCTCGGCAGCGGCGCGGGTGCCACCGCAACGACACATCGCGAGGCTCGGGAGCCCGCCCAAGCGCGAGAGCGGCGTCGGGCAGGACCGCTTTCTGGGAGAATCCCAGACTGGGCCCGCCCCCCCCCTCGCACCTCTCGTTGTGATTTGGTAATTAGTCACGAGAGAGAGAGAGAGAGAGAAAGGCGCCAGGAAAGCGAGAAAACGTAAGCTGATTCTCGGCCCTTCCCTCTTCAACCGACCCTTTCGTCGTGCTCCTCCTCCTCCTCCTCCTCCTCCTCCTCGCCCTCCTTGCATGAGGTCTGGCAGTGGCCGGACGAGGACGAGGTGCGTGGCTGGACGAGGTCCTCTCTCTTCTCTCGGGGCAACGGCAGGACGAAGACGAGGTGCGCGTGTTCCTCCCCCGTCCTCCGGCCGACGCCCCGCAGCTGGTGGGGCTCACCGCGGCCGAGAAGGAGGCCCGCGTCCTTCGGAAGGAGTCCCAGGCGGCGTGAGGGTAGCAGCTGGGGCCCTCGCCTCGCTGCGGGCGCCCGGTGGGGGTGGGGCCGGCTGGCCCAGCCTCCCGCGCCTCCTCCGCCTGGGCTTCCTCCGCCTCAGCCTGGTCGCCTCTCCTCCACCCCCTCAGCCTCCTCGGCCTCGTGGTCCTTCCTCGCTCCTCAGCCTAGCTTCCTCGGCCTGATCAGCCTCCCCAGCCCCGTCGTCATTCCTGGCTCCTCAGCCTCTTCCCTCGGATCGGGGAAGAGCTAGCGCGGCATGAGCATAAACCTTCGGAGGGCCCATCGGATTTCTTGCATCGGCGCTGGGCCCCCCTGGCGGCGCCTCTGGCTCCACCCCTGGCGCACTCCGCGGGCCTCCGCGGGGGTGATTTCAGCGCCGATCCAAGAAATCCTCGCGGACCTCCGACAGATGTTTTGCTGATGCTTTTTCTTTTAGTTGAGCTTGCCATGAAGGGACCGAGTTTTGTTTGTTTGCAGATTTCGGCCTCAAGTGGCTTTCTTTGGGCCACGGCCTTTCTCCTTGGGCCATGGGGCCTGGACGAACGGCTGGTCCTGGGGAATGCCGCCAGGCTCCAGTACCCAGTTTCCTCTAGACACTCATCAGTCATGACAAATCCTCATTCTCTGTATCTTCCTCTCTTCCTTCCTCCCTCCTGCTGTCTGCTTATTCGTCTTCCCTCCTTCCGCTCCTCCTTCCTGCTCCGCCTTCTCTTCCCTTGCCTTCTCCTCCCCGGCCCCCTTTCATCCGTCCTCCTACTGGGCGCTGGACGCTAATGGCGTTAGGTCCTTAATCCTCCTGCTATTCTCCCTCTCAGTCCTCTCCCACCCCATTCTCCTTTCGCCTCCCTGCCCACATTTCCCCTCCCCCCCCCCCGTCGGCAGGCCGCGTCGGGAGGGTCCGCGTGCTGCCGCGCCCCGCCCCCCCCCGCGTGGGCGGCGGGCGCCCCCCCTCAGACGGGCGCGGCCTCTACCCGCCGGGAGGCGCCGCCCCGCGGGAGATTTTGGTGTGCTTTTTTAAGGATGGGCCTGTGGTCCACCACCACCACCACAGGTTTTGAAGCAGTGGCGAAGCGTCCTAGCGTGCCTATAGGCCCACCAACCCATGTTCTAGGAACCTGTTTGCGATTTCTACGACATGTTCTCAGAACAGGTCTGGCCGCTATTGTTTTGTTTCAACACATCGGGCTTATGTTCTAAGAACATTGCTTTTGTTCTTAGAGCAGTAGCGTGTTCTGAGTACATGTAGTGATCGGCCTATAGGAATGCTGGGATGGTCGGTCCCTGCTCCAAGGTTGGAGGGGGGAAGGAGGTGGAGGAGGAGGAGGAGGAAGAAGGGGAGGAGGAGGAGGAGGAGGAGGAGGAGGAGGAGGAGGAGGAGGAGGAGGAGGAGGAGGAGGAGGAGGAGCCCCTCCCCTTGCCTGCTTGTGGCGGCGGCGGTGGAAAACACGCCCACCATGTTAACGAGAGCGCGTGCGAGCGGGGCACGGATGCGGCCCACAGCACGGATGCAGCGGGGCGCCCGCAGCACGGCTGCAGCGCCCGTGGCACGGATGCGGCGGGGCGCCCGCCGGTGCTTTTTCGGCGGAGGGCGCAAAAGAAAGGGGGCGGCGCGAGGGAGGCGGTCGCTCAAGCGGGCAGGGCACCACTGCTTGAAGGACGGTGGACGTTCGTTCTCATTGGGAGAGGCCATAGCGAAGCACAGTGCGTAAAGCAAGCACGTGGGTATGCATGAGAGTACGCATGTCTTATACGCATGGATACTCGTATGCCAGTTCCTGTCGGTTCGTGACCTTTGCTTTTCTGATTGGGGAAGCCAGGTCTTCACAATCTGATGTGCAACGTAAACACAAGTGTGTGAATATATACATACACAGAAGTACATACACACAGGCATATATAAGACTGCCTACACATTCATATTTTCACATGTATGTACGTATATAGAAACGGTTTATTACTTCTCTTCCGAGGGGCTGTGCCCGTCTGTTGGCCCGGCGGCCCCATTCCCGTCTGTCGCCGCCGACCGTACGGCCGTCGCCGCCGACCTTGAAGGGGGGGCCCGAGGCGCTTGGGAGGCAAGGGATCGAAGGGGCAAGCTTCTCCCAGGGAGGGGTGCTCCCTCCGAGGAGCGGGGGGGGGTCACAACCCCCGGGAACACCCCACAGCCCCCGGGATCCCCTCCCGCTACTCCCCCTCGACCTCCCTCCCCCGGCGGGGAATGGATCAAAGGGAAGGGGGTTCCTTTCGATTCGATTGCGACGTTGCTCGGTTTCTCTTTGGCTGGAATATTTGAAGAGGAGGGTCCACGGATAGGGACATGGGTGAACGGTGACGGCGACAACGACGACGTTGACGACGACGACGACGACGACGACGGCGGCGGCGGCGGCGGCGACGACGACGACGCTGACGACTCGTCTGAGACGTACTGCCACTGCTGGTGGTGCTGCTCGTCGTGCTGCTCCCAGTCGTAGTGCTGGGCCCCATAGTGCTGCCCAGGGCCGTGCGGCTGGTCCCTGGCGTGTTGCTTGACGAGATTGTGCTCTGTGCCCCGCCTGCCTCGAAGCTCCGATGGGGTGGGGACGAGACGGAGGAGGAGAGGTACGATGAGGAGGATGAGGGGGTCAGCAGGGAGGACGAGGAAGGGGTGGATGATGGGGGAAGGAAAAACAAAGACGAGAAGAAGGAGAAGGAGGAAGATGAGGACGAGACCGAGACGGGGAAGGGGTCGTGCTGATGCGTGTGGCCGTGGTGCTCCGCGGCGCTGTGGTACCCACGGACGTCGCAGTTACTTGCAAAGCTGCAGACAGCGTCGTGCCGCTTGTGCCGCTGGTACTCGTCTAGCACATCGTACTCGTGGCTGTCCCAGTGCTGGCGGCCGTGGTGCTGCCCGAGACTGAAGTAGCAGACGACGTCGTACATGCCGTCGCGGTCGCCGTCGGTGTCGTGCCGCTGCTTCCGCTGATACTCGTCGACCTCGTCGCGTTCGTGGATGCGTTGGTGCTGGCCTCGCTGGTACTCGCCGACCTCGTCGCCATCGTGGGTGCACCGGTCCTGGTGGCCGTGGTACTGCACGACCTTGTGGTGACCGACGTCGTCACACTGACCGTGGAGGCCGCTGTCTTCCTCGCGACTCCGATGGGATGGGGAGAAGATAGAGACGGAAGCGGAGGGGGAGGAGGAGGAGGAACACCAGCAGGAGGAGGAGGAAGAAGTGGATGTGGAAACGGAGACGATGGGGAAGGAGAAGGCGGATAAGGACCAGCGGGAGTACCAAGAGTGACCGGGAGATGAGGCCGAGAATAAGGAACACATGAAGAAAACGTGCCGCTGAATCCGCGGACGCTCGGCGAGCTCGACGGCAAGGTGGGCGTAGTGGTGCTCGTGGCATTGGTGGTGCACGTGCCACTGGTTCAACTGGTGCCCGTTCAGCTCGGTGCCCTTGTGGAAGGGCAGCGGTGTCGTGTTGTTAGTCTCCGTGCTGCTGCCAGGCGTTCGGCTGCTATCTTCCAGCGCGCTGGTCAATGACGTGGTCCTCATCGGTTTGCCCGTCGCACTGCTCGTTTCAGTTGTGGATGACGGAGCCGTGCTGCTGGGGTCAGCGTGGGTGCTCAGCGTCGGGCGCCAGGCCTCCGTCGTGTCGCCGCCCGTCGTCGTGCCGTTTGGGCGGGGTCGCCTTGTCGGGCTCGGAGCGGGTTCGGACGCTGTGGAGCGGCTGGCCGTCGAGGTCGTGGTCGGCGTCGTGGTCGGCTGTCGATGGCGGGGGTCGGGAGCGGGGAAGTGGGGGGGAGATTGAGGAGTGCGGGAGGGGGCTGGATGGGGAGGGCCGGCCGCTCCGAATTCGGATACGTTAGCGGCTGTACTTCTAATTGATTAAGCGTTAGCAAAGCGGGCTGGCCCGAAAGCGAAGCCAGCGTGGATGGAGGGGGGCGGAGGGGAAGACAGAAGGAGAACAGACGGGTAGGTGGGAGGCTGGAGACGGCCTGCAAAACAAATGAAAGGAGCATTGGTGTCGTGCGCGGAGGCCCCCTCAGAGCCGCCAGGGGCGGCAGCAATCAGGCCGAGCCAGGCCTTCACGTACCCCGCCGCCGACCAGGGCGTCACGCTGAACATGTTGTGCTCGCCGCTGTCGGGGTAGGACATACACTCGCACGCCAGGGCTACCGTTCCCGTGGGCTCGACACAGTCCGTCGTGCAGGAGCCCGAGCAGTAATAGTCGCACGCCTGGTGCCACACGTTCGTGATGGCGGGGTTCAGGTCCATCTTGCCGGATGGCTCCGCCTGGAGGTGGAAAGATCCCTGCACGCGTGGCACGTGGATCTGGCCGGCCATCCGGCATCCCTCGTTGAACATCATGTGATGACGGGCGACGATCAAGTGGTTGTTCCTAGTCGACGACGTCAAGGAATTGACGATGTTCGTCACGGAGCGATGCTGCTGGAAAACCTCGAAGGAGCCGTCGCGCTTGTACAGCCGCAGGGTCGTGAGCAGGCTGGTATCTTGGCCTTTTTGCAGGTGTCCTGGAAGTCCACGCAGATCATCTTCAGGAACTTCACCGTGGACTGCCGCCCGTCGCCGTCGGAGAAGTGCATCTTCTCGCTGCTCTTGTCCGGCGCCTCCATCCACGTTGGGTGGACCTGCCTGCAGTGACTGCACCACTCGGCGTAGAAGTTCACCAGCGTGTAGTCGTGGAAGGTCGCCGCCGCCTGGAAGTCTTTGTGCTGGAAGTGGTCGCTGCTGGCGGACCAGTCCGAGTCGAGCTCCTTGGCCTCGTCCTCCGTGATGTCGGAGGCCACGTCCGCCTGCTTGAGCACTGCGATCTCCGCCTCGGTGTGCTTGTTGTGGTTGTTGGCGACACGGTGCCTTTGCCGTGGACGCCTTCGGCCGGAGGCCGAGAAAGTAGTTAGAGGTTTTGAAAGGGCCGGCCAGACGTCGCCTTAAGCCACATCCGGCCGGAGGCAGAAGAAGTGGTGAAGGACCACAGCCAAAAAGAGTCGCCAACTCAGCCTAGCCAGCTCGCTTCCGAGTCCGGCGGGGAGAGGGAGGGGAGGAGGTGGGACGAGGCCGGCGCCGACACCTCTCTGGTAAGGACTCCACCCTCCGCCGGGAGCGGCGGCCGGGCGTCGGGGGAGCGGGAGAGAGCTCCCTCGGTCGGCTCTGCAGCGTGCAAGGCGCCGCACCACACACCACCGAACCACCAACGGGGGGAGGGGGCGGGGGATGATCGTCATCGGAGTCTCGGTCGTCCAGATGGCCGTCTGGAGCCTCGCCGTCGCCCCCCACCGACGCGTCCACCTGAGCCGGGTCAGGAGGGGGGCGAGGAGGATGTGGTGCCCGTCGCCGCTTCGACGGCGGAGCGCTGCCTAGGCCGGCAGCCGTCGGTCGCCTAGCCGCCTGTCCGCGCGGGGCTGGAGCAGTCACGAAGTCCCCGGTAGACGCCTCCACCTGAGCTGGTTCAGGAGGAGGAGGGGGAGGAGGAAGAGGAGCGGGCCGCCGCTTCGAGGGCGGAGCGTTGCCTGGGCCAGCAGCAGCCGGCCGCCGCGCCGCTGGCCCTGCAGAGGCCGGAGCCGAGCCACAGTTCCGGGGCAGAGCCTTCAGGATGCGGATCCCGAGCTTGCACGACATGACCTGAAGGCGGGACCTGTCCTGAGTAGTGGGGCCGGCGATCGTGGTGATCCAGCCCGTCTTGGCCGTGACCCTGGGCTGGGCAGCCCACCAGGCCTCATCGACCCCATAGGTTCGCCCGAGGGCGACGCGATCGGGCCGAAAGCGGGGGCACTCGGCCCAGAAGTGCCGGGCGGACGCGGCGGGGTGCTCGCAGAACGGGCAGAGGGCCTCAGCGTGGGCCCGTCGAGTAGGGGTCCGAGCGGCGCCGCCGCGCCAGACCGACAGCAGACTAAGCTCGTCCTTAGTAAGGCCCTCGCGCCACTGGCTCCACGGGGCCTTAGAGGACGCCTCGATGTCGACGTCCGCCATGCCCTCCTCGTCGTGGCGGGGCCTCTGGGGGCGCACCTGGTG